TCCATGGGGAGAAGGATTTGATCCATTTTATTATTGTAGCCTCGGTGCTAAAATAGTTGCTGGCACCTAGTAGTGTTCGATTAATAGTATTAAATTGGTAAATGAGTTATGGATTAAACATCATGAACAGACCAAAGGAAAGTAACCACCATGGATAATGTTGGGTCTATTGGAAAATATTTTCAGAGATCTAGCAGAGGAACTTCTAAGTCAACACAACAAATACATGCTATTTGTAGGTGGTTGTCTATTTCATTTAACTAAAGTGTAGATAACAATAATTAAAGTCATGTATTAAGTTATTGAGGAAGGTTTTACTCATTAAATATTAATCAGGGGAAAGTAATTGAGGTTATATGGCGATAAGCATTGTGGGCCCATTCACAAATATGTCTTAATTTGGCCTTGTCTTTATGAATATTACTGTTATCTCATACTCTTGGTTCTAAGCCTTCTCTTTGTAATTGTACTTCTCACCTGGGCCTGCTTCAAGGAAGAGAAGTCAATTATTTAGCATATGCTTCTTGAACTCCTGCTATGTGCCAAACACCATTCTAAGTCCTGTGCATGGAGAGGGAAGATAGCAAATAAAACCTCCACAGTCCTGATAATTAGAGCTAATTGGGGGAACAGATCTTAAATAAATAAACCTAGAATAAATATTGAATCATAAATTATGATCTGTTTTCTAAAGGAAATAGCATTTGACTAGGTGGTCAGGAACAACTCTGAGAAAGTAACTGTTAAGTTGAGATATGAAGTTTGCTAGGAGTTAACTATGCAGAAAACATGGAAACAATATATCAGGAAGAGGGTCCAGGACATGAAGTGGAAAGAATTGGCCAAGTGTGAGGAACTAAAAAAACATCAATATGTCTATAGTATTATATGAGAGGACTATTATGGATATATAGGTTTTGTGGACTATTATGGACTATTATAGGCAATGTTAAATAGCTTAGAATTTATTTTATTTTATTTTGTGGGTGGATTCTCTAGAAAATCTATAATTTAATTTTTTTAAAATTTCATATATTTTTACATCATTTTTCATTTTTACACAATCTATGCATTTTCATCTTGGTTATATTCTCCATATAATTCCCACCCCCCTTATTTTGACCCTAATCTCTCTTCCTCACCCCCACCCCCATAGTGTGTCTCTGGTTTATCATTGCTTGTTGATTTTGATTTTTGCTTTATTATAATTAGTCTTTTTCCTGGTCCTTTATTTAGGTTTTCTAAATTCCTGCTATGAATGAGACCATCCGGTATTTTTCTTTTTCTTTCTGGCTTATTTCGCTGAGCATGATCCCTTCCAGCTCCATCCATGTTGCTGCAAATTGCATGAGATTAACTTTTTTTTTTTTAAACATTTACTTATTTCTGCATACAAGAACTGGGGTCTAGGCCAGAGGTACGGAGGGCGGGGTTGAGAGGGTTCACCAGAGACAGAATGAGGAGCAGAATAGGCATATCCACTGAAATACACTGCAGAGGAGAGCAGCGTGTGAGACAGGAGAGGTCTGCTGCACCATGTGGGTAGCTCCCTGGCCGGGGATCAAACTTGTGCTGCAGTGGCTGTAGTTAGCTTCATAGATTGCATCTTAACCCCTTGCGCCACCAGGGAGGCCCACAGTTGATTATCTTAAAGAAATCTAAATAAGAGAAGTCTATACCTTCCCAAATATTTACTATTGCTAGTGCTCTGTATTCTTTTGTGTAGATATAGATTTTCATCCTGCATCAAGACTGAAGGACCTCTTTTAAAATTTCTTAGAGTACAGGTCTTGTGATGATCAATTTTTTAAATTTTTTAAAGATTTATTTATTTATGCATACAAGAGCTGGGGTACAGGCCAGAGGTGTGGGGGGTGAGAGGATTCACCAGAGACAGAGTGAGGAAAAGAACAGGCAGACTGACTGAAATACACTGCTGAGGGGAGCAGTGGGAGACTCAGGAGAGGTCTGCTGTGCCCTGTGGGTAGCTCCCTGGCCAGGGATCGAACTCGTGCTGCAGAGGCTGCGGACAGATTCATAGGTTGCGTCTTAACCCCTTGCACCACCAGGGAGGCCCATTTTTAAAATTTTTTTATTGAAGTACCATTGGTTTACATCCTTGCTAGTGTTTTTGGAAGTATAGGATCTCCCCCTTCAGGCATAGTGACAAAAGCACACCCACTACCAAAGCACCCAGATTCCTCTACCATTGTCACTATCTCCCAACTCTGTTCTCACTCCTGCTCCCCCACCCCTCAGGATGCCTCAATTCTATGGTCAGCTTTCAAGGCTTGGTCTTAAAATTCGTCTTTGTCTGACCCTTTGTTTGGTTTCTCTATATTCTTGTGGTGATGAATTCTTTCAGTTTTTGTATGTCTGAGGAAAGCCTTTATTTTGCCTTTGTCTTGAATTTACTGGGTAAAGAAATATAGGTTGCCATCTTTTACTTTCCCTTCTTTATAGATATTCAACTGTGCAAAAAAAAAAAATGCCTTGTATTTTTTTTTTCCTAAGGAGAAAACTCCTGTCCCCATGTCCTTTTGTTCTGACTACTCTTAACATTTTCTTTATCAATGGTTTTAAGCAATTTGATTATCATGTGCTTTGGTGTAGTTTTCTTCATATTTCCTGTGCTTGGGTTCATTGATCTTACTAATTTTTGAGTGTCAAGTACTTAAACACTGCTCAGCATGTTGAAATAAATCAATAAATATTTTCAGAATCAAACTGAAAGTTTTGTAAGGTGAATCAGCTAGATGAATGCAAATATTTAGAATTTCAAGTATTTTAATTTGTTAAACCAAAATCACTTTCAGCTACATGTAGTACTGTTTTCTGTAGGCTTTTACTCTCACTCCAGCTCCTTTTACTGCCTTGCTCTTTAAGCTGTAGTAAACTTGATTTTTTTAAGGTTTCCCACCCTATCATGCTATTGCATGTTTTTGTGCCTTTACACATGCTATTCCCTGTGCTTCACCTCCTGGAACTACTATTCATCTTTCAAGACCCAGGTGGTTCAATTTCCAAGGAGCTTAAAACTTCCTTTCCTATTGGATTGACCACTCCTTCCTCTGAGCCCATCCTTCATTTGTAAATCTTTCATTGTTGTATTTATCACATTTGTCTACCTGAATTCTTCTAGCTTTTAGCCTAATTCCAGGCATATTGAACTGCTCAGCAATCATTACTTGAACATATGGGAGTTGGGGGAGATTTAAGAAAAGGAACAGAGATATTAAGAGGAAGTAAAAGAAGGCTAAATTAAATTGTTTTAAAATACAATTTTATTATGTATGTTAATAGTTTAAAAACTATTACTGTTCATTGCCAGCTGTTGGAATACATGAATGTCAGAAAATGAGAGAGATGGATATAAGATCTCCCAGGCACACCTATGTTAGGCACAATTAATATTACCATTGTACAAAAAAGAAAACAGAGACAGAGAGCAAGGAAGAGGCTTATATTAATAAGGGACCTTATATCAAACAAAATGAAACCTTTTCAAAATAATTAAAACAAAGCACACATACAAAGCAACAATAAATGCAAAGAAGCTTTGTCACAATCCCACCATTCCATACAAAGACAGACATTGACATTAGTCCTCTTCTTGCCTGCAATTCTTGTTGACATGGGTTCTCTAAGGAGGAAAAAGGAGACTTGAGAAGTAGGCCTTCAGGTTCTTGAATGCAGCCTTGCCAGCTCTCTAACACCTGTTAGATCTGGTTCCCAAGCCATTTTGAATTGTTGACATATGCCTTGGTATTGTTTCTAAGTCACTCCCCTGCCAGGTTGTTATCAATTAGACTGTCACTTCTTAAATGTGCTGAAACCTACTGTCACTTGAGATCCCAGGAACAATGTTTCCTTTCACCCTTATGTTTCCTAGAAAGTACTACCTTTCCTAAAAGTCATTAGTACTGTTTGGGAAAACAGTCCCTCTCTACTTCAGGCCCCACCGAGTGTGCCCAGCTCTTCTTTCCCTCTGCCCCACACTGGGTTACTGGGTTTACATGGCTGGGATCAGACCACAGCCAGGGGGTGTGAATGATTTGGTGATAGAGGAACCATCTTTGGGCAACCGGGTTGGTCCAAGAACTGAACCAAGTTCAGCAAATACCATGAGCAACTTAGGACACAATGAAGAACCTGGGCTTGTGTCACCAAACAAATCCTGTATCTAGTGAGTAACCTTTGAAACTGGGAGAACTGCGGAGGTGGGGGGGGGCAATATATGTGGCAAGAGGGGGGCTGATAAGAGGAAACCAGGCGACACAACCACTAGTGTCGCCAAAAGATTTTCAACTCAACCACATTGAAGAGCCACATGAGTGGTTTAGAGAAGTTACAGGGGGGTAAATGAGGAAACCATAGGCTACTGAGACACAAGCCCAGTCTCTCCTAAGGACCAGGGGAGCACCGCACTTCTGACACAGGTCTTAGAACTTTGGTCTCACGCAGAAATTCCAGGCAGACCACGGTGCTGAGCGGCAGGGGGGGGGGGGTGGGGCTGGGGACGTGGAGAGTGTGTAGGGCAGGATACAATTCCCGCTTTGGTAGGGACTCTCAACTAAACCCAGGCGACCTTCCAGGGCTAACCCTCCTGGACATCATGTTACTAAAGGGCGGGCCCCGCGATTCACCCCGGCCACTCCCTCCCACCGTCACAGTCGCGCCGTCCAGGTGGCTTTGTGAGTCACCGCGACCCTCCGGCATAAGGGGCCGCGAGGTGGGCTGCCTCGCAGTTTCTCGCCCCTTCCCACTCGGACTCCAGCTCCGCTCTCCCGCGATTTGAGCACCGGTTTCTCACAAACACCGGGCGCCGCGGCGCCCTCCGGACAAGGCATGCTCAGTGCCCCGGCGGCTTTGGACCGCCGGCGGGCAACGCCTGGCCGCAGCGCGGGGCTCCCGCGCCCCGGTCCCTTTAAATCGGCCGGCCGGTTGCTAGGCGACGGCGCGGCCAGCACCGGGCTGCACTGCAGAGGCTCTGCCCGCCGCCGGTCGGGCCGGGGTGCCCCGGCCAGCGCGAAGCCCAGCGTTGCCACCCGCCGTTCATCGCCGGCTACTGGGACGAAAGTACCACGCCCAGCTGATCACACCTGCTCGGCCAGGTTGGTCTGCTGCGGGGAAAGCCCGGGCTCCCGGGGTGGCGTGTTGGGGGGCGGGGGGGGGGGGCTAGCCCCTCTTCTTTCCTGGCTTGAGGAGTGACCCGGGTGGACCCCCCAATCCCTACCTCCATCTCGATCCCCACTGCGGCTTGCTTTCTTCTCTTTGGGGACCCCTGAGCTGAGAGCGTTGAGGAGGGCAGGAAATAGGGCGTGAAAGTGGGAGTGTAGAAGGAGTGGGGTTTGGCCCTCCACTCAGAGGGTAGGGAACCGGGAGGTGGCAGGTGCTACTTGGGGTCGGGGTGGTGCAGATCCTGGACCAGGCCACCTTCTCTCCACCGGAGGAAGTGATGGCTGGAGTTTGGGTTAACCATTAACAGAAAAAGCAAACAAACAAACAAACAAACAAACAAAACAAAACAAAAATGACCAAACTAGGCTCACTGACACAGATTTATAGTAAGAATGTGACTCCCCAATTAACAAAGTACTCAGCCTTTGGAATTAAGGAGACTCCTTTTTTTTTTTTTTTTTCTTTTTCTAGAGGAATCATTCCTCACTAATAACAAAGATTTAGGGGAAGTAAACGGGTCACCCGGCCCAGTTTTCAATGGTACCTGGCTTGACTCTCAGTATCTGTCAAACAATAGAGAGGACAATTTGTCCCATGAAGTAGACTCTAGCCCTTATGTTGGGACCCTGAATGATTAAGGCAAAAATCTGGGTCACTTCCCCTTCACAATTTTTCCTGTTAACTGTACTCTGGGGGGGGGGGGAAGGCAAGGCCTAGGCTTCAGCTCTTTGCTAACGTGGCTCTTGCTATCTTATTAATTACAAGCATGCTGATGGGCCATCGTGTCTCATTTTTTCAATAGGTACTAAAGGTGAGGAGATATGGCCTTAAATAATTTCATCCTGATTCTTGTCCCATTGGATATTTACACTGCTCAAGGAAGGAAGACTTAGTGATACCTGCATCATTAGTGGCATAATAGTTCGGAAAATAGGTTGACAAACCCCAAAGCAAACTTGCCTCCAAGTGCCTGGTATCACATTTCAGATAGAGCCAACGCATTCTAAGTATATCTCTTGTAATTTTCAGCTACATTCCAGATATAAGCAGGACTTTGGGCATTCTGGTTAATTATATTCTCTAATTGTGCTGGGGGTGGGGTGGGGATTTTATTTTTCAGTTCAAATAGGAAGAGGAGAATGAGAGCTTCCAAAAGAACACCTTGGACTACAGAACATGTAAGTACAGTTGTGCTGACTGACAGCTTGCTATGGGTGTTAAGAAGCAAAGAGATTTGGCCACCATAAATCTTCAACATTGTAACTAGATCATTAATCTGGATAGTCAGTAGCCTCATCAAAAGACAAAAGAAGTGTCCTGCAGACTATAGCTAAGCCGACTAAACTTTGAAGAACAAATACAAGTCCTTTCCCTAATAGGTCATCCCCCAAGTCTTCATAAGCCAAAAGAGAAATCATAAGTATTTACAAAACTCATCATAGAATTTTAAGGATCATTTATTCAACAAATATTTATTGAGGGTGTTGGGGAGGGAAATTAATATTCCCTCTACTTGTCTAGATTCTTGTCTGAGACTCCCCCTCCCCATAATAAAAAAAAAAAAAAACAGACTTACAGGAGAAAAACAAGTGTGATAACATGTTAACCTTGAAATGAGCAAAGCTATCACCTTAAATGCCATCTTCGGTTGAAGACAAAACAAGATGTTGAGGGTGGGGACCAAGTTCTGGGAGGTTATTAGGCAAAGCACAGTTAACCTCTGACAAGAATTTCTAGAGATTTGATCAGTCGCTTTATTGTACTGAAAGGAAGACACCCTTACAAATAGAGAGTCCCGTCATAAATGTAAATGTCTCTTACAGGAAGGTAGCTTCTACTTAGTCTTCTGAGCTTTCCCTCTGTCTGCTATTTCTGAAAAATAACCAGCTCTAAGTAATTGTTATGCCAAAGAAGCATATTTTGGGGGTGTATGTTCTGCTCCCCTTCAAGGGCTACTGTGGGTCAGGTAACAGCTAGGGATACAAAGATGAGTATGATGTGTATTGGTAAAATAAAGGGATGGATAAATGTAGAGGAAAAACACAGAGTGCAAAGTCATCCTTGCTAATCTTTAAACTGATACTCCTATTGTAATAATTGTTTTAAGAAGTATTGCTGGCTCTGAAAAGCACTCGGACATTTGGAAAATTGGCATAGCAATTGGTGAGGAAATGTAAATATCATCAGTTGGAGAAAAGGCTACCACTTTTCTGCTTAGATAGAATACATTATGCGCCAGAAATTTGGGGACATAATTTACAGGATTTCAGGCCAATTCTTTCCTGCGGGTACAGATTAAATTAATGGGAGATTCAAGTTTGAGTTGCCCTCTGCTTTTCATAGTACCAACATTTTATGTACAAATAGCTTTTTCTGAGCTCTGAGACATCAGGTGGGCAACTTTGGCCATGGATCTTTGGAGAAAGTCTTTGATTGGTTGCTTTCTGTTCCAAGGGAGGATAAGGAACACCTGAAAAAAGAATAAAACCCATTGTTTGCAAGTATGCTTTAAGTGGCTTCTATTTCCATTGTTAATTTTGTAACAGGCATCTCCATAAAAGGGGGAGGTACCATATTCCTGGCCCACTCAGCTATGGGTGGAACTGAGCTGCCAGGTGAAGCTAAAAATACAGAAGGCAGGTGGGCTGGTGGGGGACACACGGGAGAGACACTCGAGAAGAAGGGTTCGCTTGCTTCTCTGCTTTGGACCTGCACCAGGGATTTGGGACTTGGGGGACATGGAAGGAGACCACGTGGAGAAGGGACAAGTAGAGACACATGGGTGAGAGATCCATGGGGAGGCAGTCATTATCTTGATTTCCACTTTGATTTTGCTCCTTCTGTCCCAGACCTGCCTGGCCCCTTCTGCCCCTTTCCTATGGGTTCCCACCGGAAGGTGCCTTGGAATTGTGGCGAGCTTTTAGGCTTCAGTGGCCTGGCTTCAGGCCTATCCTATTTGATTGGGCATTTAGCCCCCGAGGGGATGGGTAACTTTGGGTGTTTTATTTGGAATATTCTTTCTCCTCTCCCTATGCACACTAATGCCACTTAGAGTTTCCTTTGCCTTTGTGCCCACGGATGGCCAGACCCCTCTAAGTGTGCAGGTTTGGGGGTCCCAGGGTACCCCTCAGTTTGCCCGCTAACAATTTCTCTTAACCACCTGTGAAATAGGTATATTGTCCCTATTTTACACCTGAAGAAACTGAGGCTCACAGAAGGTAAGTTTGCATGTACTTCTAAGTGCGGGAGCCCAGATACCTGACTCCTTCCCTCTTTATTTCCCCAGAGTCCACACACAATTTTTTTCTCAGGAAAATACTCCCCCTTGTCCCCCACAGCTTTGCACAGTGAAACACATGTTCATCCACCTTCGCTTCAGACAGTTCATTTGGGTCCTCATTTTGGTATTTAATGGTTTTCTACAAGTCCATCATCCTCCGGAGGGTGGGGAAGGGGTAAGCTCCCTTAGAGAGGCAGGTCAGAATGTTCTCAAACAAGGAAAGAGGGTAATGAAGGCAATGTTTGTGCCTGGGAACGGAGAAGCAGAAAAAAAAAAAAAAGAGTTTGAGAACCACTGCTTTTAAGTGAGAACAAATCGAACAATTGAGCAAAGAATCATGGCCTGTGACTTTCTTTGTAGCCAGTTGTTTTTTATTTTTTCCTATTTTGGCCAAGCAATAGGAGGGTTGAGAGAACTGAAACCATCCAAGAATAATGGGAAACAAGTTCCCTGGGCTAATAAGGGCCCTTTGTCTTCCTTGCTACTGCCTCTGTGCTGTGGCTGAAAACCACACCTCTGGTTGAGGGTGACTGAGGGGCTAAGGGTGAAGACAGAAGGTTGCCTATCACAGGTGGGGGATGACCCTTCCAGCAATCCTTTCCAGTTCCTAGTTGCACGGTTTGGAATGAAGCATTCTTGTGAGGCGGGGAAAAGCCTCTGGAGGTTTTCCAGAGCAGTTTCCCAGGCCCTGCTTGGAAGAGTAATCGCCTTTTTCAGACAGATCTTGATTTATGCAAAAGAGATGGTCCTGAAAATTTGAAATCAAACCCTAATGTAAATGAGATAAGGCGACAGAGAAATGGTCTTTGATTTTTACATCATCCATCATTCCCTAAAATCTGAGGTTTAAAATATGAATATTTTAGAAAGCAAATAATTGGATTTCACACATTCAATCACTTATCCATCTTTAATATGAGTATATTTCTAGGGATCCCACACCTTGAAAATGAAAGTGACCTGGCTTTATGGGTTTCTCCTTTCGTGATAAACTTCAGAGTTTTATTTTCTAGAGCTGTCTAAGGATAGATATACATTCACCTAAGGTTTTTATGGAAGAATTTACTTTGCAATGCATACTAAATGATCTCTCTCTGCTTAGCTTTCAACAATTATGTTACATCACATTATATTATAAATTCATATTCAATTTATTTTACCAGTGATTCCCAAACTCTTGAGATGAATATAACCACTTCCATGAGTCAAGACTTCCGCTACCAAAATTCCTACTACTTTGCCACTGCAAAAAGAAGGAAGTCACCAGAGAATGAACAGTAGTGATGTTTTCAGGGACACACTAACTATAGCCATCAGGAGACCATTATTAATTCATGTCAGACACAAATGAATAGATGTAGCCACATTATGGATGCCATGCTTTAACTGTGCAGTCCCAAGAACTTCTGGAGGATCACTGACCATATTTTCCTGGGTTCCAGTTCATTTTTTGTTTTTTATTTTTCATTTCTCTTAGATCTTCTCTGCTACTCTTCAGTCTCTGTATTCAGTGCAGACTTGGGTAGGCACTTGTAATAATAAATGTTCACAGTTGGCCCACTGAAAAGTGTGCTTATACCTTCAATAATGGCTTCTTGTTTGATAAGCCTTTTGCTGCAACAAATAACCTAATCAAGTTTATTGAGAGCAAAATAGCTGCCAGGGCAGGGCAGAAGCATGTCTTTGCTTCAAAGCAAGCCCGTTCCTTGTCCTTGCCAGGGACTCCCAGTGTCATATTTGTTCTACATTAAAACACACACACACACACACACACACCACAACAACAACAACAAAAACCCAAAAAACACAGTGCAATTTGTGAAGAGAAAATGAGACTGGCAGCTTTTACCCCCAATCTGGACCTTGCCATACTTTGTGACTAGATTTGGGAACAAGTCCTTAAAAAGGGTATCTTGCCAATGAAAGAGGAAAAGAGAAGGGGAGAAAAAGAAAGAAGAAGCAGCTCAGAGACCCTTTGACCCCGCCCTGTAAGCCACGGGAGGGAAATTCCAAAAGGCTTTTCAATCCTTTCTCTTTCTGTCCTTTGATATGTGACAAGCAATTCTCCTTACTCCCCACCCCCCTTCATTTTTCTTCTATCCTTTGTGGCCCTTTCAAAGATACCTAAGCTCTGAAAATAGTGGGTTGTTTTCTTTCAGTTTGTGGAATGAAACCTAGTAGAAGAATAAAGAGGAATTTTAGAACAAGCACTGACCTGGGAGATAAGGTCTCAGCTTTATCACTACAGGCTGTGTGGCCTTGGTCATGACACTTAACTTCTCTGAGCCTCAGTTATAAGATAAGTGGACCCTTCCCAGACTATGAAAAGCATTGTCTGTATAAGGAAACTCTTCAGAGGTTCAGGGAAAAAAGGTGATGTTAAATCGAGGAAAGTTGTTATTGTTGTTTTTTTATTTTGCCAGGGATTTAATGGAGGGTTGAAAATAGAATTGACTTTTTCAAGGAACAAAATTATTAATGAAAAGAGTTTTTTCCTATTTTAGCCTTTACACGCAGCTCTTTCTCACATTTGTCGTGATTGCTATCTCCAGGTGTAAAGTGGCCTCGCTGACTCACCCCCTGCACACCTCCTTCCTAATCAATCTCGCAAACACCTTCTATCCAGAATTAGGTTGGAGTAGTCATCACTCTCATTGCTACCTGATTCTAAGCCTTGTTATCTTTTACAGAATTGTCTGATAAAAATTTGTCTGCTAAGATGTGTGACTGGCAAGTAGCATCCTCAGCTCTTCTCGTTCCTCTCTTCCTTTCCTTTATGATGGCTGTAATAATTCCCAGTCACTTGCATTCATATTTCTAGGGAGGAAAGAAACCAGGATTAGGATCCTCTCCCTCTTTAAGAATGAATAGATTCTGGGTGCTTCTGGAGATGATGCTCCAATGGCAAACACTTGGCATGAATGTCAAGTCTCAGCTCATTTCTGTGGTCTCATTGACAAACTTTTAATAAAACTTGGCTTATGGCTTTTGAACCATTCTTTGTCCTTTGAATATCTTCATTGAATATATCGTCCCTTTGCCTCAATGCCCAGCCGTTGCCACTAGGGATATACTCTTGGTGACAGTGAGTCCCTTCCCTCTCTCTCTCTCTTTGTGTGTGTGTGTGTGTGTGTGTGTGTGTGTATGGGGGGGGCTGTCAGGCATATTCAGTACTAGTAGATATCAAGATTATTTTATCATTGTCAGCAACGAAAAATCTATTAAAACTTAAACTACTGTTATTAAAAAGAAAATGCTGAAGAGGAAACGTACCCTCAAGTGGTTTTCTCAGGGCTGTGGATTATGAGGAAAAGTCCTTTGTTTTTTATGCTTTTCTGTATTTTCCAAAACTCTGCAAATAACATGTACTGCTGTCATCATCTATGTGCTATGAAACAGTATAAGTACAAGTAATATACTAGTATAGCACTTATAGTTTCTAATAACATTACAGAAAATAATAATTAAAAACAATAAATACAATTGTCACTCTCATTACCAAGATAAAATTACATTTGTGTGCATAGGAAAGTTAGGTGCAGGTATATTTTTATTTTTCCCAGTGGTGATGCTGCAAATGAAGGCATAAAATGAATCAAGTCATCTCTCCTCCTTCTTCCCCACCCTTTAGAGGTAACTTCAGTTGCCTGCTTGGGGGTTTCAGATGCCAGGGGCCTTTCAGCGTGTTGCTTGGGTCCTTCCTTCTCCCTTCTCTCAGAAATAGTTAATGAGCAAATAGTGTTGTGCTTTAGAAAAGCTGTGTGTTAAGGACTCCTTTCAAATAAGGAAGACTTTTGAAACCAAATATCCTCTAATTTTTCTAAATTTAGAAAGTTGGTTATGTTTTAGTATGCTAAGTTTTTAAACTACACTTAGAGTTAATATCTTGAGAAAAACCCATTTGGTAGCATTAATTTCAGTTCACATTTGGTTCTCATCACGAAATTGCTGTCAAAGGGGAGAGAATCCCGTACACTTGGCAGTCTTGCCTAAAAGCAAAACCCAAGACTGGAATAGCAGGAATTTACAGGTCAAGAGAGAAGGGCATTTGGCAGAGTTAGTCATCAGGAAGTCTGCATGGTATACGTTACCAAAAAGCAGCTCATGTTGCATTAAACCCTAATGTTTTAGTCACTTTCAAGAATGAATAAATAGTAGTCCAGCCGAAAAGAACTAGGAAAAAAATCAGACACATTGGAAACATAAGCATTAACCTCATATTAATACGAACCTATTCATCTGAAATCACTTTCACTGTTAGAAAGCAGTCTATTTACATAGGTATGGTTGCTTTCTCATAGGATTATTTCCCCCTTCTGCAGTAAATAACCCAACCGGTCAATTTATCGGTTGTATTTCATAGGATCATAGAATTGTGAAGCTGAAGGATCTGTAGAGTTAGCTAGTTTAGCTCCCTCAATTTATAGACAAGGGAGCTGAGGCCCAAGTAAGTCCCTTGGTGAACTAGAGGGAGGCCAAGACTCAGGAATTTAGGTCCCTTTGCCCAGGAGCCAGCATTCTTTCTTAGTGCTTTCCACTCACCTACTGGCAGTGAAAATAATGGGCCTTGATTTAAAATTCTGTTTTTCAGGGGGTGGAAGAGGTCCTTGAAGAAATGGATACTGGAAGAAAACACTGGAAAGAGAATTTTTTTGTTCCCTTTTTAAGTCCACAGGCTATTCTAGGTGAAGCTTCTTCTCACCTTCAATCTTCTGAACGAAATGCTTCACGTAAGGGCAAGAAAATGGATGGAATTTATCATTCACCTAGTAGAAAGTTTCAAGAAAATAAATTTAAGCGAAAGGAATTTATTTCCCAACAAAATGAAAAAGAACCAAATTTAAGAGCAAGAAAGATACGCATGTCAAAGAACGCAACAAACAAACGTGCTGCCTCCCATGGATCTGCAAGTTTAGATGTTTCAGGTGAAGAAAGGTGTGACATCAAAGAAGATTGTGTTACATGGATCAGAAAGAAATCACCAACTCCACCAATTCAGGAATCAAAGAAGAAAATCACCGAAGGAATGTCTACAAAAGTTCGCATGAATATTTTGAATGAAGAACTAGAAAAACTTAATATAAAATGCAGAAAAATAGAAGAAGAATTTCAAATTGCTGAGAAAGAACTTATGAGCTCCAAAAAAGATGTCTCTCCCAAACCCCTGTATTTTCAAGAGTCAGACATGAGAACATCAAAAAAAGACTGGGAACTTCGAACTTTGAGAAATGACCTATCTGAAAAAACAACTGATGTCAAGAACTTAACTGAAGAGCTGCAGCAAGCCAAAGAAATGATCCACAAGCTGAGCCTAGAGAACAGTGATTTAAAGGAAACTGTTAGGAAGTTGAAGCGTCAGACTGAGGTCGGAAATGCGCTGGTCAAAGAAGAACTGAAATTGAAATATGAATTGGAAGTGGATAAGATCCGTGAAGAGGTCGATACCATCAAGAATGAACTGAGAACAGAGAAGACTCTGCAAGCGCGAAACAACAGGGCCCTGGAGCTGCTTCGGAAACAATTTGCTAATGCATCGTTAGATGCCCCTGACAGGTTTCCACTGGATTTTTTTTAAAACATTAAAAAAAACCCAAGCCTTTCATTAGGCAGGTCATTGAGCTCAATCAGTGTTTCTTGTGCTTTCTTTGTGTGTTGCTTAAAATGTGTGTCGTGAGATGTCATTTTCATTTGGGGTGAACCAGAATATCTATATGATGTATAGATATTCACTTCAAAGCTTCTGCATTCTTTTTCTAATGTAGTTATTGCGAGAGTCCAAAGGGAAATGAGGCTTCTGAAATCTCTTTACACACACACACACACACACACACACACACACACACACAGAGTTGCGCGCGCACACACAATTTATATAGATTTCACTCAGAGACATATAGTGAGTCACCACATCATTTATGAATACAAATCAACAGCCATTTCATGATCATGTGAGCCGCAGGAGCAGTATGTCCTTTATTCTTCCATCTGTGTTCGTTGCTGTTAACAATAAAAATCTTGTTTATGTCTTTAAGTATAACATGTGTCTATGGGTCTTATAGCTGTTCAGTCTCAGCGGGATACTAAAAATGTATCTGCTTTCTTTGGGATCTAACCTTAATTAGGCACAATATAAACATCCCCCAAAAAATGCAGTTTTCCCTCCTGCTGTTTTCCCCATGCCTTCTTCCTTGACCTGGCCACAGTTCCCATAGACTAGAAGATGACTTGAGAGACATGCTGGTGACCTTTACTAGAGCCCTGATTTTGCCAAAAAGGCTTTTGCATTTTCTTGTGTTGACCAGCAAGGGGCGTTGTTGACACGGTTCTTCCAAAATTCAACCCCTGGGAAAATAGAAGCTTCCTGCCCCATTTAAGTCACCAACTGGCCAGGAATGGGATGAAAGGTGCTAGAAATCATCTCCCTGAGCTGTTAGTGAACTATCTGGATTTGTACAGGAATCCAGTCCTGTCCAGGGCACAGGCAATGATTATTTTATACTTAGAAAGAATAAAAAGATAAAATCCTTTGGTGGAAAAGATGAGCCAGCCGATTCTTTGCATTTGTATCAGACATCAAGATTTCGAATCGGAGTTCTATTTGTGTCGTATTTTTAAGTTCAATGAACTAGATGTAATAATGAACTCTGAGGATGGGCTACCAGTGTAAGAGCTTAGTTATCTTTCGTCATGGCAAATCCCCAGACTGGAAGTGAAGACGCCTGGCTTGGAGTATCTGCATTGCCATTAACTAGTTATTTAACTTAGGTCTAAAAGGCCTCATCTAATAAAATGAGGGAGTAGCTCTATCAGCCAGATTCTGTTCAGTTCCAATGTTCTGTGGTTTCATCTCGGTGATTTCCATCATAAGTGTAGCTACCTGTGACATAGTGAAACTCCTATGGTGTTGGATGCATGCAGTTCTAATACTTGGGGAATTTATTTTACAGGATCACTTGCCCCCTTTCAAAGGAAATATACACAGGCTGTTTTTGTTTTGTTTTGTTTTGTTTTATGGTTTGAGTATCTCCAAGTACTGTGTCAATAACTCAGGAGAGGGGGTAAATAAGGTTATTTTTTTCGCTACCTTTTTGCTGATTAAGGTCTGGGGAGGCACTGAATAGAGACAAAGTTGGCCTGGGGGCCAAGCAGGGTTGGCCTGGCCTGGGAAGATTGGACTAAATTGGGAGATAAAAATCTTTGGAGCTTTTAACTTAGTCCTGATCACTTAGTCCAGGCACTGGCAGCCTGCTCAGAGGGGAAGCTGGTGTCCAGGCTTGTAGTGGTCACTGGCTTCCCACCGGTACTAAGTAGAAAAACAAACTGGGTGCTCTTTGCCCTATATGACGCTCTACCTCTCACCCCCTTAAAAAATTATCCCCTAGGCAGCTCTCCTCTTTGTCTGCCCATGACTCTGCAAGTGTTTCTCTTTTATCCTTTCTCCTTTTCCTAATAAACTTGTCCTTTTAAAATGTAAAGACAAGGGACCAGGAAAAAGGCTAATTATAATAAAGCAAAAATCAAAATCAACAAGCAACTATAAACCAGAGACATACTACGGGGGTGGGAGAGGGAGTAGGATCAAAACAAGGGGGGTGGGAATTGTATGGGGACTATAACCAAGATGAAAACGCATACATTGTGCAAAAAATGAAAAATGATGTAAAAATATATAAAATAAAATTAAAAAATAAAATGTAAAGAACAAAAACCAAAACAATTACCCCATAAAAATTCCCAATCCTTGGCTGCCTATGTGCAGAGCTTGTTTACATTTTGAAAACATTTCACAAAATGTATTAATTAAGCTATTAGGCTCAATCCTGTTAGAATATTTCAGGAGAATTTCTATCAACCAACTGCACATCTAAGGTCTACAGTGACTAGTGTTTATGTGCTTATGAGGCTTGGGCAGTTGCAGAGGGGTGGGTGGAGGGAGGTCCAGAAGAGGTAACTGCTTGTCTTAGCCCAGCTCTGGGCAGGGGGAGGGAGCCGTATTTCTAGGCTGGAACTGAAGCACAGATTCCTGCTGAGACAGCCTGGGACACAGCCCCTGCAAGGTCTGCCTTATACCTTCTGTACATTGAGTGATGATGAAGAGTTGTAGTTGCTGTTTTTCAAAAGGAACAGCCCATCAGGTCACTTACCCCTTTACTAATCTGTTGGATAAAATATTTGAAATCAGCAATGTAACCGCACACCATTCCCCACCAATTCCCATTCCCGTATTTATTAAGAAGAATGGGCTGTCACAGGGCTCTAGGAATATCTGCCCACCCTGAGTTTACAATCGATTTCTAGAAACATTTGCTGAGCAGTTATCATAGTTCATTATTGCTATGACATCTTTTTTTATATTTTGACATACCTGAATTTTGAACACATCTTCAAATCAATGGGATGCCATACTATAGTTGTTACGTATTTCAAACCCTTCTTCGTAGTTCGTAAAATAACGGTGTGTCTACTAATCAATAGGGTTTTTGATTTGATGAAATATGGTATTGCTAAGCTGGGGACTTGGGGCAAAAAGGATTTTTGAAGAAGACAGTTGCCAGACTTCTAGTACCTTACTTATGCAACTAACTAAAACAACATGGCAATAATTATGGTTATAATTAGCAGCACTAATATCAAGTGCAATGGGACAACAGAAGAGGATCAATTCATTCTGCTTGTGGGACTGGGAAGGCTTTTATAAAGGAAGGAACATCTGAGCTGGGCCTTCAAGGATGAGAAGGATATTTCCAGGCAAAGCATGGAAACAGGCAGGTGCCTTGCTGGAATGTGAATGTGAAAGGTCTATTTGACTTCCAAGAAGACACCAACAATGAATTAGAATGCTGGGATATTACACATTAGTGGTTTTTGCTATCCCATTTGAGTTTTTAATCTGAAAACCACTATGATTTCAACTTTTTTGCTTCTCTACCGATAGACAGAATGAAGGTCTTATGACATAAAGACCAGGTGCCAGGTAACAAACCACAGGAAAAAAAGGTTGCTGGTGCCACTGTACCTTTGTCTGCCTTCACTTTTGTTTTGGAAACAAAACACCTGGGAGATTTTGGTCATAATATCCCGCTAACTTCACTGTGAGTGGTCTGGTTTCAAAGAGATCTATGAAAGAGAAACCTCACATTTATAGAGCATAGACACCAAGTGCACAAACTTTGGTTACCTGCTTACTAGCCAAGCAACCTTGGGCAAATTGCAAAATTCCCTGGAGCTCAGTTTCCTCCTTTTGCAAGATGGGGTTAATAAATAAAGCTGTTAGATAAGATCACATATGGTCAATAAATGTCACCGTTGTTGTTACACAACTGACAAGAAGAGAATGCCCAAAGCCATTGAACTCCTCCAGCTTTTATTCTCACCAAACTCTTTACACTTACTGTCCCTTAAATTGTGTTCTCTGGAGAGGATACGATAAATTCATTCATAATGTGTATCAATGATGTGTGTGATACATCTGAGACAGTGGGACAAGTTGCAGGAAGGCTATTTTGACTATTAGTATGTGTAACCTCAGCCAAAGCAATGAATCAGTCAAGATGGACTTTCTGGACTTTCTGTAAAGGGAATTCGCTTGAGTCCCAACCTCCCCAGTCCCCCTCTAGTCAGGTTGGTCTAAGGTTGGCCCTTGACCCTGGCAGGCAGAATACCAGCAGAGAGAAAGCCCTGCTCTACTGCTCCAGTGGGAAAAAGCTCATTTAGGAACAGGGAATGGAGACAAGAGAAGCTATTATAGTGCTTTGCATTTCCCCTTGGCACAGGGCGCCATGCAGCTGGGGACCCACTGCTACAGCTGCTCAGATAAGAATAAGCCATTGTCTTGGTCTTTGTACTCACAAGACACTGAAACTGCAGTTCCCCGAGTATTGAAGGTGTGCCCTCCTTCCCACACTGAGTATCAAGGTGCTGTCTCCTCTGTCTAGTGGCCAGAGCTACTTAATGTTGAGTTTCTCCCCCACCCCTCTCTCTCACCACTGAGCACACCCAGCCTTTTGATGAGTGCTACCTTTCCGTGGCTCAGGTTGCCATTTCCCGGGAGACTGGGTTTGTACCTGGTTCTCTATGTGCCTGCAGTATCCTTAAAGCATTTCTTATGCTTTTCAGCCTGTGCCTGTGTCCAGATAATGCCAGGAGATGTACCTGAGAGGGCCTGCTTATGTTGCTTGTCTCCCAGCTGCATTTGGACTGTTTTTTGGAGCCTAGTGACAAAACTAGTATGTATCACATACTTACTTGAATGTTATCTTGTGTAATTTGCACAAAAATCCTGCATCGTCAGATCGCAAATGGAGGCTTAGAGATACAAAATGACTTATTTAAAAATCACACAGTGAATGGTGAATCTGGGATTCAATCCCAATCTGCCCAGCTCCATCAAGTTTCATTACATTAGGCCACCTTTTGTTCTAAACTTAATGAGTTGAAAGTTCAGTCACTGTAGAGGTTATTTAAGGTTCTCAAAGAGATTGGTTTACTACTGCAATCTGGACTATCTTGAATCATCCATGTCATAAATGACTGAGATGAGTCCTGAAGATGCGTCCTATTATTGGAAAGACCACTCAGTACACGTGTCTTCTGATGGTGGGTCATTAGGGCTACATGAAGGACACAGCATTCCCGTAGTAATGACATAAGTTTTAACAATAACTTAAGCAAAGACCACTGAAATA